TGTAGGGAACAAGGCGATGCTATTAGCTGGTTGGGTTAGTTAGTAACGTCAGTACCGGGCTGTTGAGTCTTTGTAGGTGTCATGACAAATGAGATTTTTAAGGAGGGATTTGAAGGAAGATAATGAGGTAACTTGGCAGATGTTTATGGAGAGCTCCTCCCAAGCGTGTAATAATCTAGTTTTCTCATGTAAAAGAAATGATACAGACCAGAACATATCTCTGGGACCTGTGCATTCACTCTGCGTCGTCAAGGAGCTTCGATGACAGCAAAGAGTTATTGATGGCAATAACATTGTCATATAGTTCCCACTAATGGTAGGAAATAATCGCGAGCAGCAATAGCAACATCATATAGCTGATGCTTCGGATATTACAAACAAACTCGTCGTAATATATAGATTTGGCTACTACAGGAAAATAATTACAGGAAAACAGTTTCTCATGAGCTCTAAGATTTAGAGATGCATCCTGGAGGATCAAGCACTGGTGTCGAGCAGAGGGATGGGCTTTTGTGGGCATGATTTTGGCAGTGGTTGAACGAGAGAAGGAATTACTTTAGCATCTTTGTAAGCAGCTCTGTGTGTTCCAGGGACAGTTTCTATGGATGTATGGCTTGTCATTGCAGCCTGGGCAAAGCCTTTAGGGGCTTAGTTTTATACACGTCAAAGAGGACTGACCTTCCAAGAGTAGTGGCTCAAACCCAGGAGCTCTGTTGCATGCTGGTTACCAGAAGCAGCTTCTGGGGAGGTTGCTGAGGGCTTATCAGAGTCCATGGCTGAGGGAAAGGAGGTCTGTGTAGGGTTTGTCAGGGAGCACTTTACACAGATGTGAAGAGAAAATACAGCTTGTATGGTTAATTGAAGAACAAAGCATGTTCCCCATCCAACTATTAAAGGACACCTGGGACGTCCAAGTCAACTTCAAGTTTTAAAATTAGTCTGAGGGAGAGAGGTGAGAACTTCATAGCCTGCGCACGCCGGCTGTTATTCGCCCTTCAGGTAGACCATGGACTAGTTACACAGACACGATCAAAACCTGTTGGTGTTTTGTAGTTTTCAGACTGGAACAAACTGCTTCTGAAGACTCATTAGCCGCTTCTTGGTCTTAGCTTTGTTGTAACGTCGTATGTACAACAACACGGTGAACACAAAGTATGTAGTGAGAGATTAAAAGTTAATAAACAGAGTCATTCTGATTCTTTATATCTGAGCTGTAAATAGATGAAAGATACCAGAGTATTGTAAGGGTAGGGGGAAAAGTAAAATCCCTCCTTCAAGGAAGAAGCCCGGGGAGGTGTAGTTTAACCCCCACTTTCTCCTTTGAGCTACACATTATACTTTGTAAAGGCTTTTTTGGAGGCTGCTTTTGTTTGTGTTTGTTGCAGGGGTGTAATTACAAAGCCTGTGCGCAGGTTGTGTTTCTGAGTGATAACATGTTTCCTGGGTTGTTGGAGGGATGCAGCAATGTGCCCCTGAGATGTTACGTTATCTCGCAGCTGCACATTTTGTCTGAGTCTGTAGCTTAATCATCACCTGCTTTTTTATTTTATTTTTTGTGGGGTTTTTAATCTGGGATAATATCTCTTTGAAAAGCAAACATCTTGGTATAAAGGAAAACCTTTGGGTAAAAGACTGCTAAAAGGAGCCAGCTATGCTCAGGGAAACATGCTGCGGGTTGTAATTTACCTCCGTGTAACATATTAGCTGTAACGTGATATATCGCTTTCTTGTTTTGCAGCTCATTTCGACAGCAACAACAGTGGTTCCTGCACGCTCTCCCGGGAGCTGGCTCACTGGTGTTTTGTGTGTATTTGTGTTTAGAGGAAGACTGTGTCTGAACTGTAAGAAGCTGAGTCATATTTGAGCTTTTCCTAGGCGCTGGTCCAACCCGAGGGCCTAATTATTCCAGTTGCTCAAACTAAAGACGAGTTGCTTAATTGCAGCTCACCCGGTGCTGTCCCACTGGTGTTCAGGTCCGAGGCTTTCGGGGTGTGCAGGAGAGCAGCAGACCTGCTGGGTTTGTCTCTACTTGGCTTTTGCTGAACCAAATGAGCCAGAGGCTCGCAGCCGAATGCACCGAGTAGGATCAGCTGTACCTGTGACCCCACGTGAGAATCAATTCATGCATCTGCTCCCCTTTTCACAGTTCAATACTTACAGGCAAAAGAGCTTTGGAGACTCACCTTGCCCTGAGTCTCACTGCAAAAATTCTCATGTTTATCTGTTGCCTGTTGAAGGGGTTTGTTTTGTGAGTTCTTGCTGCAAAAATTCAGCTCCCGATGACTTTTGTGTTTCAGGCAGGTGAGAGCGTGGGATGAGGGAGGGCTCGTGTCTCCCATGGCACTGAGGCACTCCTAGCCTGACTCCTGTGTCCTCCAGCCTCCAGTGTTTCTGATAACAGCCTGGGGCTCTGTAGACTTTTCCCACCCAGCTCAGCCTGGTGAACACAACTCTGTTTTCTTTAGAGGTGTAGAGGAGGTCTGGTCTGCTTCCTAGGACCACCTGGGTATTTTTGTGTAAGATACTGTCTGCTGTTGGTAGTTTCTTGAGCTCCTCTGGTGCCGTTGGTCTTTGGAGGTGTAGAGGAGGTCTGGTCTGCTTCCTAGACCACCTGGGCATTATTGTGTAAGATACTGTCTGCTGTTGGTAGTATCTTGAGCTTCTCTGGTGCCGTTGGTCTTTGCTCCTTTGTGTGGCAACAGGCAGTTCCCACCTTCAGTTCTGAGGACCTCAGCAGGATTTGGGGAGTTTGGAGCATGGAGTACTGAGCAGTGGATGTTCCTGCGGCTGCCTCTGGGCTAATGTCCATGATGTGGTTACTTTCAGTGGCATCAGGTGGTTCAATTTCTCTGGCAGGCCTATTTCCCAGAAAGCTCGTGTAGGTGACAAAATACTTTGCAATAGATAACATAAATCATTGCAGCTGGCAGATGGATTTTTTTTAATACAGCAACAGGTCTATTGGATTCTAGTTTCTTGGACTTGCCCTTCAGTGAAGATCAATACAGACAGATGGAGAACAAAAGGCAGGATTGAAATTGAACCTGCTGGCATTTTCAGTAGGGTTTCTCTCTGCAAATCTTCCCTGGAAGTAGCACATGTAGTGGCAAAGACCAAACGCTCACAAATACCTCCGTGTGCAAATACTGATTGCATCCTTAATAAGTGTGACTTAGGAATGCTGTGGGTGTGCTCTGGAGGATGGGTCACTAGGCTTCCTCAAAGGGTGGGTGGGTGTTGGAGGAAGAGTGCTAAAGGGTACAGAAGAGAAAGGAGTCTAGATTCCATGGCATTGCTTCATTTGGATCAAATTACTGCTTACATAGCCCAAGACACATGTTGAGTGCATGGCCTAAGTAAGTGGTCCTTTGATTAGGAAGGTGAGCTGGGAAGCCACTGCTCTGCTCCCATCTTGGCTCCTCACTTTCTTTGTCATTACTTTGAATCCAGAGTTTTGGTTTTTGAACAGTGGGCTGATTATCATACTGAAATTGTCATTGGCTCAGTATCTACTGGATATTCTGATTTTCAGCAGTGAGATGAACGGGCAAAAACACCGCTGTGACCCTGTGCAAGGCAGAGGTTTGGAGAATGGCAGCAAGTTATCTGACCTGCGCGATGCTTTCTCCCCTGCTGTCACTTGTATGAAGTCTTGAGAACAGCAGATCCAAAGGCCAGGTTTCTAGTTTGTGTGAAAGCTGACTCCCTTAAGTGAGGATATCTACTATTGTCCATTAGTCATTTATTTCCTGGCACACTACTCCGGACCTCACAGCCTTCCTATTGCAGCTTTGGGACGTGCTGCAAAGATACAACAGTTGGAGCTGAAACACTTCTTAAGTTAAAATGACAGCCAAAAAGCTTTACTGCTACTGACCTTAATGCAGCAGCTCTCTGCCTCCTCAGCCTGTAGCCATGCGTTCTGGCAATGGATGTCAGAGCTGCCGGGAGCTGTTTTGCTGTTACATTAGTGGCACTCAGCGAAGTGACTGCTGAGTGAAGGAAAATGCAGGGTAAAATTAGGAGTGACTTCAAATGACTTGCACTGAGATGAGAATTGTGAGTGAGTTGTGATTTCCAGCCCTCTGGAGTTCATGTGGAGGGAGCTGAAAGCATCTGGTCCCACAGCATCAGCACCTGCAGGACTGAGGGATCTCTGGCAGTGTGGCTGTGCTGGCACTGGGGTTTTTGCTCGTGTTTTTTGGCACAGCCACGCCAGTCCTGCTTGCTCGCGAGGGGAGACCTCGGCCAAGGTCTTGATACTTGAGCGGGAGATCTGCAGAGCATTCCCGGAGGCTGGCGTTTCACTTCTGTTGCCCGATAGTGCATTTTCCACACCTGCACTTCTGGATGCACTGCAAAATAAAATACAAAACCCATCCCATCCCCGTGCCTGCTGGCTGGATGCCCAGTTGAGTGCCGAGTATGGATTACATAATGCCCAAGTAGCGCTCAGCCCCTGCCGTGCACCGTGCCCTCTTCCTGCAGAGCTGCAAACCGACTCAGAGGGGCAAGAGACGGACAAAGGCCACCACAGATGTGCAGCCATCCCCTCTGCTAAGGCTTGCACAGGCACGTAAGTAAAGAGAATTCTCGCCCAAAAGGGACGTGCTGTGGGCTGAGCCAGGCTGGGAAGGAAGGCAGGGAGCAAAGTTTGGAAATCTGTGCAAGGTTATACAGGAAGCTCTTACTGGACAGAGGGTCTGGAACCGTGTTTCCCACATCTGGTGAGTGCTTTCATCTCTCTTGAGGGTTTCTCCACTTGGGTTGCAGCCCATTAGGGATGCCTGTAGCTTGCATTGTGGGCAGGAGAGGAGCGCTTTGGTGTCTGCTAATGAGCGGGATGGTGGGTTAGAATGATCCCAGTCATCAGCATCTTCCCGACCAGATCTCTGTGGTCACCTCGTGCCATTTTGTGTGCATGTGGGTGTGCTGTACTGGCCTTCACACTCTCAGCAGATCAGTTCTTCACCAGTTGGCATCCAGCATCCTTTCGGAAAGGAGGAGGACATGGCTGTGGCTCCCTGGGGAGTTTCTGATGAGCTGCCTGTTACACAGCGTCATGGGCGTAGGAATCTCTCAGGCTTCATCCTTCACTGCCTTTGAGACATGACGTTACAGTTCTTCATGCTAGAGCTATACTCTTCTTTGAGCTGCTTGAACAATTCCTGCAAAAATTTTTCCTATTTTCCTTCAACTGAGATTAAACCACCAATCCGAAAGTTACTTTAAGTGTTCAGTGTTACCTCTAGTGCTCTGGCCTGCAGCATTAATGACCTACCTTCTGCCAAAAGACCACAAGATGCTGGTCCTATGCTTGTGGGGCTTCATCTGTCAAAAAATCTGTGCCTCTGTCTCCTGAAAACCATTTGGGAGAATTGTTGTCTCCATAAAATACTGGTTTTTCTCTGAGTGGCTCAGCATGAAGTGGAAGTTGCCGAGTTAGTGTGTATGTGATGCAGAGGCTTTGAATTGAGGAAGGGGCTCATTTGCTTTATTCGTTTTATTCCCACTTCAGCATAAAAAAGAAATGAGACTTTGGGGAAAAGAGTATATGAGGAGAACCATCCCAGAAAGGCAGTCTGAAGATAACACATTTTATGTGCTTAGAAGAAGGCGTGAAAAGGAAGGGAACAGATAATCCCTTTTCCTTTGATGGTTTCTTGGGCTAAGCCCAGCAGAAGGGAGTTACTGTTTGTTCTTTTGCTCTCCACTGCCGTGTTTCCTTCATGTAGGAACCCACTGTGCTCATATGTCTTGAGTATTTTTACTATATGAATTATATTAAAGGTGACTTTTTTCTTGCTAGCTGTCCTCTTGCTGCCCTTTGCCTCCAAAGATGACACTTACACTCCTGTCATCCAACAGCGACATTCTTGACATTCAGAGATGCGTGGCTCCAGTAAATTACACTCGTATCCATCAATAAAATGGGTTTATTTTAGGTGAAAAGCATTGCACCTTTTCACTGGGTTCTCTGGCACATTTTCTCTAGAGGAACTGAAGGCACCGCTAGAAGAATATGTCAACAAACGATACCCCGGCCTCGTGAAGGTGGTGCGCAACCAGAAGAGGGAAGGTCTTATCCGAGCTCGCATTGAAGGCTGGAAAGCTGCCACCGGCCAGATCACTGGATTTTTTGACGCTCATGTGGAGTTCACTGCTGGCTGGTAGGTGCTCAGCTTCAGGGTCTCGGTTAGAGTGTGTGTGAAGCATTAAAGAAGGGGCAGTCCATCATTTTGTCAAGGATGCGTTTGCATCCTGTCTCCCTTCTGCATTAATCCTGTCTCCCTTCTGCGCTGAATGGCCCCTGATGAGACGTGATGGGAAGATACAAGGAAAGCCTTTCCATGCCCTTGTTTTCTGTAATCCTTGTCCATTCCCTCCTTTTACACGTGCACACCCCCCTGTGCCCTGTTTATATTTTTCAGGTTGATTTCCCATTCCCTTAGCCTTAAGTAATTTATGTAAGTTTAAAAAAGCCCAGGCAGCAAGGGACTGCTAGAAAAAGTGTTTCCTGCTTCCTTGCCCTTTGCAGCTGTATACCCCTGGGAAAGACTTAGGTGGTGTAGATTGATTTGTTCTTGCTGCAACTAGGAATAAGTGCAGAAACCACAAAAGATATTTCATAAGGGTATTTTTCAGAGAGATTCAAAACATTTAAGTGGCTTAAGTTTGAGTTTAGATCATGAGAAGAGCCTGAGAGTGTGGTGTTTTGTTTTGGTTTTTTTCCCCTCTAACCAAGTGTAAAAAGTAAATGGTCCGTGTTTGGCAAAGTGGAGATAGAAGAAGGTAAGTTGTGTCTAATTTGAACAGGGAGTAACATCCACAAGAAAAATGCTTTAGCAGCTGCAAACAAAAGATTCGTGCGAAGTTACTGAATTCTTTGTAATGACAGTGCAGCTGAAGGGTGCCTTTAAGAACTGTTTCTTGTGTTGATATCTGTATTTCCAGATAAATGTGCCCCTCTTCAGCTCACTAAGTCCTTACGTCTGATTTTATTGGTATACAGAAGAAGGTTCCATTTACTGAGCTCTTGAAACCGCGTTTCTAGGGATAGAGCGAGCTTTTCTGCAATTTGGGCTTGACTCAGGTGTTATGGACCTGCTGCTCCACGTCTTAGCTTTCCGCTGTGGGAAGAGCTAACTCCTTGTTTTCCATCTTCAGTCTGATGGTCTGTAGTTCTTGAATGAAAAGAGTCTCCAGGTGGTCATAGAGCACCTATTCTGAGCTGCTCCTGGCTGTGCTGTCAGCCCGTGCTGCAAAACTGGCCCCTAGGTAATGTGTTGTCTAATTTCATTGCTACCCTGTAAAGGTTTCAGGAAAGTTCTGTTTAAAAACATGGGAATTTTTAAAATTAAAACATTCAGAATATGGACTTGCTATTTAATAATGCTTTTTTAAGCCAGCACATGAGAGAAAGTATGGTGTACTAGCCTTGCAAGAAAAGATGAAGTCTGGTTTCATAGGCTTTAATTTCCACCACATAACGCCTTAGTTTGTAGAAACAGTCCTTTCCTCGTGCAGATAACTTCACCTGGTCCATGAATTTGTGTAACCAGTTGTGTAGGAGAGCCTTAAAACTCCCTAGACCTGCAGGGCTGCAGCTACATGAGCTCCCTGTGCGGCAGCTGCCCCCGTGCTCCCACGGCAGCTCCACACAAGGGATGTGTCCGCCTGGAAAATCCCATCAAGTGGCAGTGCTGAAGCCTCCCACAGCATCTCCCTGGTGGCTGGCCAAGCCTGGCAAGTCTTCCAGAAGTAACCTTTTGGACTTGGCAGCGCAGATGCTTTGCAGCTCTGTGTGATCTCTGTGCCGGTAAAAGCATGAGCGAGTGGAAGGGTGAGATGGAGACTGGTGTGCTGCGATGCGGGGCCACTTGCCGACTCTGCGAGGAGCCTCAGGGCAGTCTCCAGGTTCCTCAGGCTGGGGTTTGCTGTGTCTCTCTGAAGACATGATGCTGCTGGTGAGTGGGAGCAGAGGGCAGTCCACATTGTTCCTTTCTGTTTGCTGGATGGTGGCGAGAGTGCCTGTTTTCTTACCCTCACTTAAGTGCACACACTGTATAAAGGCTATCGTGTCAATTTGCAAATTGTGGGAGAAATTAATGATCTCTTCCTGTGTGGTTTGTTGTTTTTTTTTTCCCCAATTGTTCAGGGCTGAGCCGGTACTTTCACGAATTCAGGAAGATCGAAGGAGGGTCATTCTTCCCTCCATAGACAACATCAAGCAGGACAACTTCGAGGTGCAGCGTTATGAGAACTCTGCCCACGGGTACAGCTGGGAGCTGTGGTGCATGTACATCAGCCCCCCCAAGGACTGGTGGGATGCCGGAGACCCCTCGCTGCCCATCAGGTATGTCACAGAACCCGGGGCCGTTCGTTCTCCCTCAGCGAGGTGTGATGAGGCAAAACACAGGAAGATAAAGCGAAGAAGCTGGCTTAGACGGGTTGGATATAGTATCAGAGTGCAAGCCAGCTCCAAGAGGCTGTAACATAAGCCAGGAGGGGTTTTGCTTAGGCGAAGGGATTTGGAAAGGAGTATTATTTGGTAATGGTCTGCAGAAACGCTGGGGAAGTATAGGAACTGCATAGATTTGTACAGTCTTATGTTTAACCGCACATGACAAAGTCGCTTTACCTTAATTACAGCGTTAAGGTTTTGCAAATCATAAGGAATGAGGTGATTTTTCTTGTGTAATGAGCTGAGGGTGAATTCATGAGATACAGTGCTGTTTTTTTCTTGAATAAAAGCACATCTCCTCTTGGCAAACTTTGTAAGAATGTACCTTGGGTGGTTCTATCACTTTCTCTTATAGGGTTGGCAGCTCTGAGATGTTGCTCCCGCACCTCCAAACTTCAGGGCGTGAGACAAGCCCATTTGGACAAAGCAAAAGCAGGAGGGGAGGGAGTAGCTCGGTGTGGGTGGGAGGCTGGGATGCTCTGTCTGCAGAAGTCAATGATTTTCCCTTGACAGCCCCTAAATATCAGAAGCAATGATCAGGAGTGGTTTTCTGGCCAGGTGAGTGAGATATATTGCTCTTGACTTGGTTCATATGGAGAAGCCTTGTCCTCAGGCATATAACAGGTAGATATATTTGCAAATCCATGCCTGAGCTGAAGCAAAATCTGTGCTTTGGTCAATGATATCCCTGGAAGCTGAAGTTAGATCTATTCCCATTTTCTCCGAGATCGTTTTTATTCCTTTGGGCTGCCTTGTTCCAGACAGCATGTTCAGCCATCAGTGGAGGAATTGACAGTTTATTCTGGACAGGAATCAAGTCTTTGAAGAAAAAACAGTTGTTTCAACCAAATGCGAGCGGCTGGATATGTTAAAGGAGGGGCTGAATGTCTGGGGTGTACAGGAGGTGAAGCTAAAGAATTCAAAAGCCTTTGCCAGTGAGGCACTGGAATAGATTGCCTGGAGAACTTGTGGCAGCCCCATCCCTGGAAATGTTCAAGGCTGGGTTGGATGGGGCTTGGAGCAACCTGGTCTAGTGGGAGGTGTCCCTGCTCATGGCAGAGGGTTGGAACTAGATGATCTTTTGAGCTTCCTTCCAACTCAGACTATTCTATGATCTTTTTAGGATGTAGCTTTGCCCCAAGCTTCCCAGATATAAACCAGTTTAGAAGGACAGGCACCAAATCCGGGAGCGCAGATGAGTCACACAGATGTTGGACACTTACACGTCTCCAGATCTATCTGTGCACTTTTTTCCCTTAGCTCGATGTTGAGAGCCAGCAGGTATTGCTGAGCTTTGAGTGAGTACTGCCTGGAGCTTTTACGTACTTCTGACTACCATTGTAGAAATGAATGTTTTACCATGGGAATTGTCTTCTGTTGGGCAGAACGTTGTATTGGGTTGTTCTGACGGACATTGCTAAAACGGACAGGATGTCGAGCATCATATTTCTGTGCTTGCTGCTTAAGAGGAGCTTGGGTGTAAGAGGTTTATCAGTCTGTCTGCGCTTCCTGCAGCCTTTCTGCACCGGTTGCATCCCCTTTCAGAGCCGTAACCTCAGAGTGGGTGATGTCCCGTGAGCCCCGTGGCGGCCGCAGCCCTGTCATCCTCAGGGTCTGCCTGCTGAGCTCTTCAGCACTGCCGCGTTGAACCACCAAGGAATTGGAGATCAGAGAAGGTTTATGAAGGCTCTCAACTGGCAGCCACAAGGACGTGTGTCGTGATCTTCCACTTTGACTTTGTGAAAGGCATCTGTAGTGCAGACCCTGCTGCTTGAGGCACCGGTGTTTGGGAATCGGAGCTCGGGGGTTAAAGGAGCCGGGGTGGAAGGGCACTGCCTCCAAAGCGAGCGCTGTAACAGGGCTTCCCTAACAAACCCGATAGCCTCCCAGCGATGTTAAATAATTAAACAACTTACTAAAATAATATTGTTATCATGCACTGGGGGAAGGATTATGAGAAAGATAAATGGGTAGTGTCCACCACAAAAAGCCGATGAAAAATACTGTCTCATTGCATTATGTTGCGTGGTCACATAGAGACCAGAAATAAATGACTATGGTTATTTTTTTGTCATATAATGCGATGAAAACTATGCACTTTATGACAATATTTGCATGAAAGGGATACCAGTGCACTGCTCCATGTAATTATGCATGGGATTAGAGGAAATTCTGAAATTATAGTTTGCAGAGGTACATTAGGTTTTTAGAGACTCTTTATGATAAAAGAGTGGGAGTGAAATAAGGCATTTTTTCCTTTTTTAGTTTTACTCTCTTGCTGCATGGGGCTTGTGGGAGCCCCAAGAGAGGCTCCCCTGCCTGCGAGGGGTGCTCTGGTGTTTTGTGAGCACCGGTGTGTCACCGCCAGAGACTGGAGACAGACAGCTGCATGAATACGTTTGGAGGCAATTTTCTCTCATGGATAATTCACAAGATATAATTATCCAGGCAAAGAGAGCTGATGGCATGAAAACCATCTAAAATATGGCCCGGTCTCAAACTGACTCCAGGCTCCTGCTTTATCCAATAATTTCTCTACAAGAAAGTAGTCTCTCTTTTAATGCCTAGGTGGGATGCTGGTTTAATACCTGTATTTTGTGATACACCTCCTTCTGTATTTTTTTTTTTAATTGACATTTGAGGTCCTGATACACAAAGATACCCTTGTGTGTCCATGCACTCAGTTGTGCATGCATTTCACAGCTGGACTTCCCTTGCCAGACTTACAGACTTCACAGAATCACAGAATATCAGGGGTCAGAAGGGACCTCAAAAGATCATCTAGTTCAGCCCCCCTGCCGGAGCAGGATCCCCTACAGCAGATCGCACAGGAACGCGTCCAGGCAGGGTTTGAATGTCTCCAGAGAAGGAGACTCCACACCCTCCCTGGGCAGCCTGGGCCAGGGCTCCATCACCCTCACAGGGAAAAATCTTTTTTCTAATATCTCCTCTGACTACTTCTGCCCGGAAGATAAAATTGTGGTTAGAGCATCATGCATCGTGTCTAGATGAGCTCTCACAGAAGAGGCAGGCAGTAAGTGACTTTTGAAACAGCCATCATACAGATCCTGATCTTCATCAGCTCGAGCTCCTGCACAGATGTTTTGGTTTCTTCGTTCTAATTTCTTGATGCTAGTGTGTACTTCTAAATAACACGTGCTTGTATTAAGTATCTGGACGTACTTTACTCTAGGAGATGGAGCCGGGATTTATCCAGTCCTGTGTTTTTAATGATTAATTATACATTGATCAGAGTTTACTGAGAGTCCACAAAACCTGTGCATCAATAAAAAGATGGAAGAAAGCTGATGCTTTCTGTGTCCTGTGGGAAGTAAAAAAAAAAAAAGGGGGGGGGAAATGCTGTGAAATTACAGAGTGACAACCTGATTTGGCCTTGGGCTATCTTAGGGTGGGATCCACCTTCTCGTGATCTCCAGGAGTGTTTCATTTCCCATCTAGCAGAGCGTGAATTCTGGGGGCTTCTTTGGGATCTGGAGCCTATTGCTACAGCACTGGTGGGCTGTGCTTTGTCAAAAAGCAGCTTTGGAGAAATTGCTGGTATCTGTAAGATTTATGGCTAAGGTGTGCTGATTGCACTTCAGTTGCAAGACTCGTGATTTATAATTACATATATGAAATATTGATGTCTCCAGGGGTCTGATTCAGGAAAACAATTAAATGCACTCTTGCATTTGTGTCTCTTCAAGAAGCCAAACAAGCAGATACAGTGCATATTAAGCATGGAGGACAAGGGACACTTACCTGAGCATGGAAATTGGGGTCATCACGCTTTGTTACTGACGGTGTTTCACATATCCCCCTAGAGAGAAAAGAAACTCGGATCTTTGCTGCTTGGTCGGTGAGTCCATCAGCGGTGCTGTGACCCCACTGTCGCCAAAGGGTAGATTGTTTAGAATATAACGTGTTTCCTGCTTTGCTCTTTGTATTTCCAGCTTGACTGGGTGGATTGGTTGAGTCCAAGAGGCAAAAGCACTGCTGCATAGCTCCGTTTGTTAGCAACTCCCTGCAATGTGTTGGGGCTCAAGGAGGAATCCTCAGGTGACTTCAGAGATGACAAAGAAGCCTCTTTGCAGGCATTCAGTGTGCAGGGTGCCAGCTGGGAGCAGCCACCAGGTTCAGGTGGGCTTTGGATAGGGCTTTGCTGTAGCTGTTCTTTGTGGTAATTAATCTTTTCTGGTGTGGAAGACAGAAGCTCATTTAATTAGTGTTAAGTTCACTATGAGGAGGAACTTGTTTTTTAGAGTTATGGATTGTTAAGGGGCAGAAAGGCTTTTAGGTTTGGTTTGTTGTTTTTTTTTTAAGATGAAAATCATTTGAATTAACCCACCCAGTTACCTGTTATCTCAGCCTCACAAATGCTAATGAATTTGCTCTTGCAATGTACTTATGAAAGAGTGAACTCTGATCCCAGTTGTGTAAATGATGCAGAGTTTGAGATGGATAAAAACAGAGAGGCTGTAGGTTTTTGAATGTGACACATTGGTGAAGAGAAGAGCCTAACTCTACTGTTTAATGTAAACTTTTCCTTCAGTCACAGTCTGCAGGTGATGCAGAAGTCTCCCACTCTGGTTGCTGTGCATTTCATTTGCAGTAAGACAACAGGGATCTAAGGTGATATTATTATTATTATTATTATTATTATTATCATCATCATCATCATCGTACTTAAAAGTATATGTCTATTATTCTTTATTTAATTCCAGAAACCACTAGCTATTGTTTTTCTTTAGTGCTTCTGGCAACCATCGTCCCGTTGTGGCTTTCAAAAGCACAAAAACTTGGTGTTTTCTGTGTTTTAACATGTATCTCCACCTTTGCAGAGATTAGCATGTTACAACAGCACATTAAAACCTCAGTGGATGAGTTTAGAC